TTTGTATTTTAGTTTGAGTGTGTTTCAGGGCAAGCCAAACAAGTTTGCTGTTTGATCTATGAAGACAAAGGCTAAGCCATGTAAAAGCCTTTTGTGCCCTCTCAGATATCCACCAAATGCTGTGCTCTTCCACGATCACCAAGCAAAGCTACGTGGTAGTTGTGGCCATCTGACGCAGACAGCTAACTCCCAGGCACCATGCTCCTGCATCGTTCTTGCTTGGAGAGTAGACGGGTGTTTGGGATTACGTCCTCCTGCAGAGGAATTCTTCCAGGAATGGAACAACTTGGTTCATGGCAGAACTGTGTCTTGGCGTAAAGCTAGTTGGAAGCCTACCCTTCGTACACATTTTGTGAATGAAGAGAGGCATGAGGCTATGTCTGCGAAGTTAGATGTCAGAAAACAGGACCCCTGAGTAAAAATTATGCAAACGACCCAGTTTTTCTGATCACCAGGAACCTACACCTCTGATTGCCTCTGGTGTATTATCTAGTAAACAATCCATGGGAAAAGCACTTGACCCGTGCCTTAATTAGACCACTTGTATTTAGGTGAGTTTTGGCAGGCATGCAGCTTGAATAATTTTTTTGCAAAGTTCTAAGCTTGCCAAGGTGGCATTTAGTTAGGAACATTTTGTCAGCTCTAACACTTCTTAAACTCTCAGAGGAGTTTCTCCCTTATTTTATTGGAAGCTGCCTTGAGCAGAATGGAACAGAGAATAAGATGTTAGCGTGGTTAGTTTGAGACCCAGGAGAACCAAGTTCAGTCTTCAGGTCTGCCATAATCTTCCTGTATGACAGCTTATTGTTTCTGCTTCAGTTCATCGTTTTTATTACTTTTGAAACAGAGCCGAATAACTTTCTAGATTTCTTTTCAGACTATGAGTTGTTCAGCTCAGTCTAGGAGTCACTAAATAAAACTGAATGGCCTAAAAATATGGGAGGCTAGAATGGGAAGGTTTTGTGTCTCTGGTAAATAGGGATGACACTATTTCCTTACTTAGAGCTGTGAAACATACCAGGATATCAGTAGCTTGGCCATTAAAGTACAATAGCTACAAATAGAGTGTTTGGTTAAATATCTGACAGAATGACAACAAAAAAATTCTTTTAAAATGGAAATCTTTAGTATTTGCTATGGAAGGGAGAAAGTGTCCAATTTTTCCAATTATTGGAAATGCTATGTCAATGGCAATAGAGTTCATAAGACATCTGACTATATGATTACGTAAAAAATACAAACAAATAGTGAATAATTGCAGAAGCTTGGTCCAAATTTTATTGTAAGAAAACTCTCATTTTTAATACACTTGTGTGGACTTAACATGAATTTTCCAGCATAACCAGGTAACTAAGAAAACACCCACTGAAGCTGCAAAAAATCTGAAGAATTGGCGATCTTAGTGCATCAATGACAAATCATCTATTGTCTCAGTGGGGCCAGGGTTTTACTCACAATGTTTTAATTCTTCTCTGGTCTCTGAAGTTGTAAGCGAGAATGGAAGTGTAGCAGACATGGATAATGTATTGGAAGGGTTTTCATTTACTCATATCAGTGCCCATAAAAAACGGAGACTTAGAGTCTGAGGCTACAGTTTCCGGGGTTTTTTTGGAAAGGTATAAAATGTTTCAAAGCCTTTAACACGTCTAACATTCTCAGGGTTAGTAGGTCCTTAGATGAATTTGACAATCCATTTCACGCTTTATTTTCCCTTACATTAGAGAAATGATGCCAGCGCATTTAAAAAATATTAAAAGTTATGTCTAAAACATGATTACTCAAAAAACAAATCAATGAGAATTTATCTTACTAAGGCCTGAGGAAGGGCTGCAAAACTGATTTTATTACAATGCAACTCACAACAAATGGATTGATTTGGATTAGAACTGAGAACTGGCGACTGGAGATCCCATTCTAACATTGTTCTTGGAAGAATACTTAACATGAAGTTGCTTGTCACTTAGTAGTTGGAGAGAAATTTATTCCTTAGTTTTGAGATGAGGGAAAATATGTAGTGTTTCCTATCTGTAATAACCGTCTCTTTGCCTTGTTAGTAACAGCTGAACAGATAAAGGTGCACAAGTCAGCTTCCTTCCCCTCTCTACTGTCCCTTGGCCAGTACAGTTGCTCAGATTCTTGTTTGGAGAGCTTTTCACGATGCAAAGTGCACGGCACTGCTCTCCATGTCATTGAAAGAGACTGACTTGGCAGAGCACCTTCCACAAAGGTATAGAACTATTCAAGGATCAGCCCCCCCGCTTTATAGCTGATGCCAGATATTTTACATGATACAACTTTGATGTTTTTGGAAAAAGGATTTGTAGAAATAAATCTATCTGTCTGTCCATCCATCCATCCATCTCCTAGTTTAAAAATAAGACTGACATTTCATATGGAAAAATTATGGACCACAAATGAATCTTAAAGATTATATCTTTGTGTAGTAAAATGGAGGTCTAAAGGCATTGTGAGACATAGTCTTTGGCTGTTCACAACATTTTAATGACTTTACATGAATCTATGAATTTGTATGTGAGTTGAACACAAATGACAAACCTGTAGCAAGTTTTAACTGTTTGCAGTTTGGGAATTAATTAATTTGTGAATTAGTCTGCAGTTTTGACCTGTCCAATTATACTGTAATGGAAGAGCATTATGTAATTATAAGTTACAATAGAAAGCAAATTCTGGGAGTAGTCTGACTTTTCCATATTTTGAGCATGACTGAAGTTTTCTCTCTTACCTTGCATCATCAACAACGTAACTCTTCCAGGAACCATCTCAGGAGGAAATTGAGTTAAAGTTCTTCATTAACACCTCTTTCACCTTATGGAGGACGGAATGAAAACCTATTCCATCCTTTTTTGGGGCTTAGATTACTTCTGAAAAGACTCTGCTCTCCCTATTCATCTGCACAGTTGTCCTTCTGAGCCACCTCTCACAAGTTAATTTCTCACTGGGGAGTGGAAATGAGTATTTCATATTTCTGTTCCAGTATTTCTGGTTGTGTCCTAGGAACCACTCAATAATGATGTGGAATACTTAGGAAAACCAAAGCAAACCAAACAACACAAAGCATACAACTTGATTTGGTTAAACAAATTTGACTCACTAAAACACAAGGTACTTACTTGAAGCTTGAGAAAATTGTTAGAGTAAGTTTCATAGGTGTAACTCTGTCCAGAAAATAGGTTAACAGTTACATACAATCATGTAGATAAGAGATTGCCTACTCAAATAGCAGTCAAAATAACACAGCTATCTTGCTTTTCTCAATATTCTGTCAATGTTAACAGATAGCAGTTAACTATCACAGAGAGGACTAATGGCAAAGTGCTACAGAATTTAATTTGGAGCATAGTTACAGACCTTTTTAACTAAACATATGGAATTTTGAATGATTTATCATAGTCATTACATTCGAAAAGTTTTTGGAATCATTTCAGTTGGACCATATTGATTATCAGTGGTTCTCTTGGTCTCTAATTAAACAGTTCTACAGGACTTGACAGCCCTTATCAATGACAAAAAACAGCCTCACTGACACTGAAAATGGGACAGTCTTTATGAAATAACATGGTCTTATTAATGTTTGCTGCAGAATAACATTCACATGCTGTCCTTAGTCATGACTGACTTTCATTTAGTGTGAAATGAAGAAACATTATATGGTGCAAAGACAAACAGTAAAATTCATCTTCTCTTTGGCAAAATTGTGATTTTACTTACAGCTTTCATCGCAGTATACTTACAATTGAACTTGAGCTTACTGACTTATCTCCAGGCTTTTGCAGAGTCCCACCAAGCACAGGTATTATGACCCTATGCAAGTATTTCTCCAGCAAGTAGCAGTACAAGGTGTAACACAAAATAATGCAATAGATGTAACTAGCAAAATGATGTAATTGTCCTTAACCTCTTAAATAACAGTTGTTCTTAAATTCTTTAAAAAAAATATGAAAAAAGTGCATAAACCCACTTCTTTTTAGGTCAACACTCAAACATGTGCTTTAATTTCAGCTTGTGTTTGAATCTTGTTAAGTCCAACAGAATTCATCACACTGATGCTTTCCTGGGTAGGAGCCTGCAAGAAGTGTGTGAGGGAAGATGTGAGCCAAGCTACAGGAATATGCTGCTCTCACAATTTAAGTTTAATTTTAATGGCAAAATATTATCAAGCAAATAAACAAGTAGACAGCTGTAATGCCTATTGCCTACCCTGCATAACCGATATCACGCATTATTTCTTCTTTTCTGCCCAATACAAATAAATTAATATTGTTAATAGCTGTAATGCATACACACAGAATTTTTAATCTTCAAAACAGTTTCATGAACATGTATTAAATTAAAAAGAAATGTGCTCTTTAAAAATATCATGAAACACGGCCTTTACCTTTTTTGACATATTTTATAACTTCATACTGTCACATCTTGTGGAGTTGGGTAAATTGTTGGCATTAGCATCTTGACAAAGTACTTGTCTATAGAAATTTAATTTACTTTGGAAAAGGAAAAAAGAGAACTGGATTTTCCAGAGATTTCACAAGCTGTATCCTACCCTATGATGCAGGAGTTTTGCACCTGAAAATTTTAGTGAAAATTAAGAAAAATGATACAGTGAGTATTAACATATATTTATTTTGTTACTGTAGTAGTATTTTCAGGAGATCATGATAATATTTTCTTTCCATGATCTCTAAGGTGGCTTGACTTTCAACCACCCTGGCAATTTTACAGGTCTTAATAAGAATTTTATTGAGTGAAGTAAAGGTTGTTCCCCTCCCCTCAACATTTAAGAGAAACTAATGGTTAAAATCAACACATTTAAAAAATGGTTATTTTCTTTCAATGCTGGGCAGATACTAAGCAGGGAGGGAAGTAGATGGGGTCTGGTACCTGGGACCTCCAAGTATATGAGGCCATGCTTTCCATTTTATACGTGAGAGAAAACACATGGACAGAGGACTTGAAACATGGAGAGGAGCTCAGGAACAAACCAGCCTTCATGTGTCCAAGCTGAGCAACTAGAATATGACATACTCAGAATTAGTGCCTCTTTCTGAAAATGTTGATTCATCTTCAAAAGTGTGTGTTTTCCATCTCTATACAGAGCATACTGTAAGATGATTCTATTTCTAGACAAACAGATGCCAGTAACTTAATTTATTCTTTTTAGATTTAACATCTTATACTGTGTTTGTGAAAGTTGTGCCCAGTTCTCCATGCTGTTTTTGCTACTGCTGTAGATACTCTAAAAATAACGTATGTGAGGGTGATATTTTTAGTGATCATTTTAAATTACCTTGTCATTGGTTGCAATCACATTAATCATGTTGAATGTTTTTGGGTGCTCAAATAAATGTATGTACTTCCATAGGAGCACTGTTATAATTTAATACCAAGATCCTTTAAATACAGGCCTTAGTTTTAATGAGAGAAATGTAAGATATCAGCCGTGTGTGAGACTGAGGTGAATTTTTGGAAAATACTAACTTCTATTATTTTTCTCAGATGAGGATAACAGAGTAAAGAATACTCTGAAACTGAAGTAGTCTAGAGAAAGACAAAAAAAGTCTGCTGTGGACGAAAGCGCTGATGAGAGTTACAAATCTTGGACCCTGAGACCATTGTCTGTATTTCCTATCTTCTTCTTTACTGGGAACTGGCCATTTTAGGAGGGGCAGAAGCTGGGAGATGTTCTGTGTTATTGGCAGGGCTCGCACAAGACCTGGATAAAATACAGCTTTTGTACCCCCGTGGAAGCCCACAGAGAATAGTGACACAGCTGCTGCCTGCCATCGCTGGGAGAATCAATCCCCCACCAAGGAGAGCTGCTTGCAGGGGGATGCGATTTACCTATAAGCACTGCTCCCATGGGTAAATTGCCGTTATGTAAAATAAACCTTAACAAAGGTCTCCCTTGTGTCACTCTCCTACACAGCACAATGTGTATTAATAAAATCTCTCTGTTTAACAAAGGGATCTGTCTTTAGCCCAGCTCTTTGCTACATTGCCATAAGCTTCTAATTTAATTGAGGATTCCCAAGTTAACAGCATTTTCTTATTTAAGGAAAAGGTGGTCATCTTCTGTCTTGAAAATGTCTGACACTAAATTCCTCTCCTATCAGTTAAGAGATACTTTTTGACATCTTTAAGCCACTGAGATAATAATTTCTGACAGTATCAGTGTGCTTTAGCCATGGCATCCTGGAATGCTACTTCTAAAAATGTAAGAGAAAATGGCCATGATTTTTTATAGTACATTGGAGTAAATAAGCATATATATTTATTTTAAAGGCATTTTAAAAGAGTTTAGAAAATGCTGGTTGTACTTCAGCATCTTTTGTTGTGAGAAAGCGAGCTGTTATTTCTATCACTTGCCGAGAACTGCTATCTTAATGATACAGATTTGTGCTTTGTGGCAGAGTCCTGAGCCTCACAAAGATTAGGCTGAAAACATTCATGTTCTTTTGGGAATTTGGGAAACCTGACTGTCTCAAAATTACAGTAAATTGCGCTATTAAAAAATGCCACAGCAAAGAGTTTGCATGCTGCTCTGCTTGTTTTATTTAATGCAACATTAAGGCTGTCCTTAAAAATGCTTTGCAAAAGCTTGCACAGGGACAGGATTTTTTTTTTCATTGCCAATATTGTGTCTAAATAGGAGCCTTCCAACCAGACATTTTTTGGTTTACATAGAATTTTTTTCACTATTTGGGACTCATTTAATTAACTCCTTTTTTAATGAGCAAAGATATCAAAAAAATAAACATGACTAATGAAACCTAGTCTGACAACATTCCTATCAAGGAAACAAAAATCTGTGCATCAGAGAAAGTTTAGGCATTTATTAGGAGCTGGTAATCATCATGGCTCCTTGCTCATAGGAGCTCTATGAATTTGTGATCTACCAATATAAAGTCACAAATCAAATCTTTCCTTGCTTTGTATCACAGTGCATAATCCTTTGTATAAATGCTGAGTAAGCACCAAATTTACACTGTTTACTTGCTGCACTACCTTAGAAATCAAAAAAGGCTTTAGTTAATTACAGCATTCCTATAAAATATGTAATAGGGGATCACCTTCCTCTTTGAAATCCACTGCATTTTGGTGCAGTGATATGATTTTTTTTCCATATTATTCATTGCATCCAACACACTCCCCCATCCCACTCTCTATAAAATATGTTTTAAATCAAATCACAGTTCCCAGAAATGTATTTTCAAAGTCTCCTAAAACATTTCTTCCAGGAGTGAAAACTGTATCTTACCAAATTTCATCAGCATAGCACTGTTTGTATTTCTACAAGTCTAAATAATTAAATGAACTCTTGAAACAAAATTGTAGCCTATTTATTGTGGCAATCTGAAAGTTTGAGTGTTAAAAGGTACTTCTTACTACAAGCTGATCACAAAAATTATTGGAAATTAAACTGCTTTACTCATGAGCTCTATAACGATATTCAAGGGGAAATTGTGACAATGCCTGTGGTGACATTACAGCACTTTCAGTACTGTAGTTCATGAGTATGGCCTGCAGGGTCTCTGAAGTGAAGGACTATAATTCAGCAGCATGCAAGGTGTCTTTATGTATGCAATAAAAGGCAAAGCTTGTCCCAGACCCTTTCTCTCTGTAAAACTCTCTGGACAGGGCTGCAGTCATCCCTCTCTCTCCCAATAGTCACTGTGTTTCTGATCCTCCTAATCTCCGCTTACTATTTTGTGAAGGTTAGCCAAGGATGTGGATTAGAAATATTGTTGATTATTTTCTATGCCTTTTTAAATGAAAGCTACCTTTTTCTTTTTTTTTCTTCCTTTTTTTTTCAGCTGTCCAAAATACGTAGTTTTAACAGAACACCTAGACATTTCTCTTGTATGGTTCCAGCTAATCTAGAATCTATCACCTGCCATTGCATTCCAGAGTATTCAGCCAAATGTGCCTTGAACTTTCAAAACCTGACTCTTTCTCCTAGAGTCAATAGTCCAAAACCACAGTAAAACTAGTAAACGTATAAATATCAACAATGTCTCTTTTATTTTATCCATAAACAAAATAATTCTAATAGATTTAAGAGGCATGATCTTGTTTATTTGTGCTTTGGTTTTTTTTTTATGATAGAGCTTTGTTGTCACTACCATAGTGGGGTTATTTTTGTTTTGATTTTAATCATTCCTTGCATTTAGAATGACCTTGAATTGGATTAAGTCTTATTGATCTGTAATTCTTGGGTTCACCCTTTGAGTGTCTTCTTAAAAAACCAGTAAAACACTTTCTCTGCTCTAATCCTCCAATAAAGGTTTTAGCAACAGATTATATACCTCTGCTTGCATCTCCTCTTCTTAAACATTCTCCTTGATTTATATCAATAAAATCAGATCTCAAAAGTACTTAACAAGTGAGACAATTATTTTTGTCAGAACTTTGGAGCTGGGGAAATAGAAGCATGGGGTGGTGAAGTGACTGTCTCAAAATCAGCCAGGAGATCAGTGCGAGGGCTGAGAACTCAGATTTCCATGTCCCCATGCAGAAGTAAGACTATCCCTCTATCTTAACTTCCTTTTGAGTTTCACTGCAAATGCATTCTGGACTGTGTGACTAGTTTCCCCTTAATTTATTGATTTATTTTAGTGCTGTTTTGGACACATGACTTTAATACCGTCTACTCTATTAGAACAAGGAGGTGCTTCTGTATGCTCTCTGATGAGCTGCAGTGTAAAAAAGTGTAACTTCTCAGCAACACCTGTAGGCTTCTCAATTGTTTTCTTTGATAGTTTAGCTCAGTTTTCCCCAAAGTATGACCCATCAGATGGATCCAGCCTGCCTAACAGTTTTCCCAGCCCACAACCTATTCCTGCAGCCTCTTTTCCAAGCACCCGCAGGCATGAGCAAGGAGTGGGAGGGTGGTTGAATTCACGGTTTTGCCAGCCTGTGACGTGTTCCCTGCCTCCTTCGTTCCCTCTCTCCACAGCCCCTTCATCAACACATGACTAGATAGATGTGCCTCTATCACATGGCAAAAATGATAGCATCTTCCTTGAAATTAGGGGTGTGTTAGGAGGTCTTAGGAGTGCACTGGCAAATGTGGCTAGATGCTGCTTGTGTGCTATAGCACGCGGTAAGTTTATCTGTTTCTTTATTGTTTGATGCCTTGATGTCCTTCTCCTGTGATACTGGTGCCAGTCAATGCTAGCTGGTATGGTGCCACCTTTACCTCTTAGATATAGGGCACACTTACTTAGATATACTACTTACTGCTCCACTGTTGGCAAGGTGCCTCACATGAGAAATGTGTCTTACCGGATTTGCAAGGTAAATCTGATATGAAAATGTTTGCTTGGCTGACTTCATAGAAAATAATAAATAAAAGTATTAAGTCAGATCTCTCATTTAGATTATTGTTCCTGTCCGGTTCAGAGCAGATGGCTTGTCCTTGTGTTCTTCCAGCAAAGTCCTACTGTCTGCAAAAGCAATTCCCTGCCCATATCGGGCTTTGATTCTGACAGTCTTTTTACTCAGTACCTCACTTAGGCACACTCCTAAAGTTTAATACTTGCTTAAATGTTTTCCTTTTGATGTATTTATTTCAGTCTGAAAGCAGGAAAATGCACATTTTTATTAGATGGCCTACTTTAAAAGATGGCTTATTTTAAAAGAAGCTGTGACGCATTTTTCAGATAATCCTTACTCCCTTCCTAAATCTTCCTGTTTCTTGGAAGAATGCTCATTCCCTTAGTTCTGCTTACCTCTTTACCTGCAAGGTTCTGGAACAGAGGAGAATTGTATACTGAATTGGGAAACCCAGAAGACTCACTTCTGCAAATCACTTCTGTAAACAAGGGTTGGTTCACATGTGCATTGAAGTACTTTCCTGAATTTCATTTCACTGAGACTTTTGTTTCAAAAGAGACTATAAGATCTTTCCTTTATATACAACCTTTTGTTGTAATTTACTATAGCTGTTCCCATTCCATCAGTAAAAAGTCAAATAATAATTTTAAGGTTAAAACAGAATTGAGAATCAGTGTATCTAGATCTTTTTCTCATTCTAACAAGGGTTTTCTCTGGGACTTTGCTATAAATCACTTGTCAAGTATGTCTGTATCCAACACCACAGGCAACTATTGCCAGGAGTAAGAAATACCTTAGTAAGTGACAGACCTTCTTCTTATGGCCTCATTTTACCCACACGTAAAAGGGAGCTAACATATTTTCTGGGATACTGATGTGTTTAATTTGCAACTCTCTGGGGAGAACTTTTGGAGCCTTCAGAAAATATTATAGAAATGCTATAGAAATGTGGAATTATTATTTTTCAGAATAATTATCCTTGCTTATAAATTTGTATGAAATTTAGTGGATTTGAAGTGACAAACGTTTCACATAAATTGTGTGTTAGAAAACATATTTTAGAATTTAGAAGGACTTAATGAAATAGTATTGCTAATATACATTTTGTAGTGTTTTCAAAGCAAAATTATAGTTGATCTATTCATTGGAATGGCTGAGCAAGCTAAGGGAACAATTATAACTTTTTCTTAAATTCTGTATCACTTTTCCTATGAGAATGATGGAACCACACTGAGATTTTTGAGCCCATAAGCTCAAACAAGCTTTTGGGAACAATTCTGATGAACATTTCTCATAGAAAAATACACAGATGGAAAGGTTTGTTATGATCACAGTTAGATGAAAACCATCCCAGGGATTTGCAAATGGCAGTTGGCAGAAAATATGCAAATTATTATTCTGATGTAGTATATCCAGAAATAAATTTGTTATGAGTTATTAATTTTTATAGAGACTTCTTCCTTACTGTTTATTTGTTTTAAGTGGCTTTTTTTGGAAGTCATAAAATGACAAAAGAACCTTGCTATAGGGACTGAAATTACTGTCATCTTGAATGGAGATGGAACTTCGTACTTTCTCTTATATCTTTGAACTAACTGAAAAGGAAAGTGGAAGTAGAAGTGTTCCGTGATTGAAATAACTACTACTTTATATAATGGTGTAGACATGGAATAATGTCAAAGATTGTTTAATGGTGAGTTATCGCTTCAGACACTTGAAATCAGTAGGAAACATTGGCAAGCTACATTGAAATCTGCTATAGTAAGAGATTATTACCAACCGTGAAAAAAACCATTTTTTTTCTTTCTGTCCCTAAAACATAACAAAAAATATGCAGTACTTGATGAGAAGAGATCCCAAGTCTGAAAACAGCCTCGCTGGAAGAAAAAGATGACAGTGGTGATGGAGGTTACATCTATAGGAGGGAGCATTTAGGATCAGATCTTTAAGATGTGACCATCTGTTAAATATATGAAATGTGAGGAAAACAAGAAAACTGACACTTCTAACAACTGACATCGTTAAAGAAACACACATCACAGCATGGAAAGCTAATGAATCCATGTCTACTATCCTCAGATGTTTATCACAGTTCTATAATTAAATGACTCTCAAGTAAACATTTTTACTTGGCCTTTTGGCTGAGGTCTTATAGAATCATAGAATCATTTACATTGGAAAAGACCTTTAAGATCATTGAGTCCAACTGTTTACGTAACACTGCCAAGCCCACCACTAAACCATGTCCCTAAACACCACATCTACACGTCTTTTAAATACTTCCAGGAACGGTGACTCAACCACTTCCCTGGGCAGCCTGTTTCAAAGCTTGACATTTTTGGTGAAGAAATTTTTCCTAACAGCCAATCTAAACCTCCCCTGGTGCAACTTGAGGCCATTTCCTCTTGTCCTATCTCCTCTTACTTGGGAGAAGAGGCTGACAGCCACCTCACTACAACGTTCTTTCAGGTAGTTGTAGAGAGCGATAAGGTCTCCCCTCAGCCTCCTTTTCTCCAGGCTAAACAACCCCAGTTCCCTCAGCCGCTCCTCATAAGACTTGTGCTCCAGACCCTTCACCAGCTTCGTTGCCCTTCTCTGGACACGCTCCAGCACCTCCATGTCTTTCCTGCAGCGAGGGGCACAAAACTGAACACAGGACTTGAGGTGTGGCCTCACCAGTGCCCAGTACAGGGGGACAATCACTTCCCTGCTCCTGCTGGCCACACTGTTTCTGATACAAGCCAGGATGCTGCTGGCCACCTTGGCCACCTGGCCACACTGCTGGCTCATATTCAGCTGGCTGTCGACCAACACCCCCAGGTCCTTTTCCACTAGGCAGCTTTCCAGCCACTCTTCCCCAAACCTGTAGCGCTGCATGGGGTTGTTGTGACCCAAGTGCAGGACCCGGCAATTGGCCTTGTTGAACCTCATACAATTGGCCTCAGCCCATCGATCCAGCCTGTCCAGATCCCTCTGTAGAACCTTCCTACTCTCAAGTAGATCAACACTCCTGCCCAACTTGGTGTCATCTGCAAACTTACTGAGGGTGCACTCGATCCCCTCATCCAAATCATTGATATTAATAAACAGATCATTGATGAAGAGATTAAACAGAACTGGCCCCAACAGTGAGCCCTGGGGAACACCACTTGTGACTGGCGGCCAACTGGATTTAACTCCTTTCACCACCACTCTTTGGGCCCAGCCATCCAGCCAGTTTTTTTACCCAGTGAAGAGTAATCCTGTCCAAGCCATGAGCAACCATTTTCTCTGGGAGAATGCTGTGGGAAATGGTGTCAAAGGCTTTACTAAAAACTAGGTAGACAACATCCACAGCCTTTCCCTCATCCACTAAGTGGGTCACCTTGTCATAGAAGGAGATCGGGTTACTCAAGCCTTTCATAAACCCAAGCTGACTGGGCCTGATCACCTGGTTGTCCTGTATGTGCCATGTGATGGCACTCAAGATTATCTGCTCCATAACCTTCCCTGGCACCGAGGTCACGCTGACAGGCCTGTAGTTCCCTGGATCCTCCTTCCAGCCCTTCTTGTACATGGGTGTCACATTTGGTAACTTCCAGTCAACTGGGACCTCCCCAGTTAGCCAGGACTGCTGATAAATGATTGAAAAGTGGCTTGGTGAGCACTTCCACCAGGTCCCTCAGTACCCTTGGGTGGATCCCATCTGGCTCCATAGACCTGTGTGTGTCTACATGGTGTAGCAGATCACTAACCATTTCCCCTTGGATTATGGGGGCTTCATTCAGCTCCCCGTTCCTGTTTTCCAGCTCAGGGGGGTGGATACCCCAAGAACAATTGGTCTTACTATTAAAGACTGAGGCAAAGAAGGCATTAAGTACCTCAGCCCTTTCCTCATCCTTTGTCACTGTGTTCCCCTCACATCCAATAAAGGATGGAGAGTCTCCTTGGCCCTCCTTTTGTTGCTCATGTATTTATAGAAACATTTTTTATTGTCTTTTATGGCAGTAGCCAGATTAAGTACTAGCTGGGCTTTGGCCTTTCTAATTGTCTCCCCTGCATAACCTCATGATGTCCCTGCAGCCCTCCTGAGTTGCCTGCCTTTTCTTCCAAAGGTCATAAAGTCTCCTTTCTTTCCTGGGTTCCAGCCAAAGCTCTCTGTTCAGCCAGGCCAGTCTTCTTCCCTGCTGGCTTATCTTTTGGCACATGGGGATGGCACACTCCTGCACCTTTAAGAATTCCTTCTTGAAGAATGTCCAATCTTCCTGGACCCCTTTGTCCTTCAGGACTGCCTCCCAAGAGACTCTGTCAAACAGGCCAAGTCTGCCCTCTGGGAGTCCAAGGGAGCAGTTCTGCTGACCCCCCTCCTTACTTCTTTGAGAATCGAAAACTCTATCATTTCGTGATCACTATGCCCAAGACAGCCTCCAACCATCACATCACCCACAAGTCCTTCTCTGTTCACAAACAACAGGTCCAGCTGGGCACTGTCCCTAGTTGGCTCCCTCACCAGCTGTGTTAGGAAGTTTTCTTCCACACACTCCAGGAACCTCCTGCACTGTTTCCTCTCCGCTGTATTGTATTTCCAGCAGACATCTGCTAAGTTGAAGTCCCCATGAGAACAAGGGCTAGCGATTGTGAGACTTCTCCTAGCTGCTTATAGAATATTTCATCTGCCTCTTCATCCTGGTTGGGTGGTCTATAACAGACTCCCACCATGATATCTGCCTTGTTGGCCTACCCCCTGATTCTTACCCATAAACTCTCAACTGTATTGTCACCATCATTAAGCTCTAGACAATCAAAACACTCCCTAACATACAGGACCGCCCCACTGCCTCTCCTTCCTTGCCTATCCCTCCTGAAGAGCTTATAGTCATCCATTGCAGCACTCCAGTTGTGCGAGTCTTCCCACCATGTTTCCATGATGGCAACTATGTCATAGTTTCCCTACTGCACAATGGCTTCCAGCTCCTCCTGTTTGCTGCCTATGCTGCGTGCATTGCTGTACAGATATGGACAGTGTAGGCTTTACTAGGAGGCTGGACACGAGTCTGAGCTTCCAGCTGCTTCTGGGACTGCCTCAGTCTAGCCAGTAAGAAGTGCAACACTGTCAGCATCACAGTCACTGGGTAAAATACTTAGTCTTTGCAGAATTCATCACAACTCTGTTCTCTTGACTATCTCTGACCATAATAATAGAGTTCTGGTTCACAGAATCACAGAACCACAGAATGGTTGAGGTTGGAAGGGACCTCTGGAGATCATCTTGTCCAACCTCCCTGCTCAAGCAGTGCCACATAGAGTAGGTTGCACAGGACCATGTCCAGATGGCTTTTGAATATGGAGACTCCACAATCTCCCTAGGCAACCTGTGCTGGGCCTCAGACACCTTCACATAAGGTGATGTTCAGCCTGCAGCTCCTGTGTTTCAGTTTGTGCCCATTGACTCTGGTCCTGTCACTGGGCACCACTAAAAAAAGCCTGTCTCTGTCTTCTTTACATCCTCCCTTCAGATATTTATATACATTGGTGAGATTCCCCCCAAGCCGTCTCTTCTCTAGGCTAAACAGTCCCAGATCTCTCAGCCTTTCCTCATAGGAGAGATGGCGCAGTTCCTTAATCATCCTCGTGGCCCTTCATTGGACTCTCTCCAGTATGTCCATGTCTCCCATACTGAGGAGCCCAGAACTGGACACAGTATTCCAGGGGTGGCCCCTACCAGTGCTGAGCAGAGGGAAAGGATCACCTCCCTTAACCTGTTGGCAACACTCCTCCCAGTGCAGCCCAGGATACCATTAGCCTTTGCCACAATGGCACATTGTTGGCTCATGGTCAACTTGGTGTCCACTAGGACCCCCAGGTCCTTTTCTGCTTTCCAGCTGGTCAGCCCCGAGCATGTACTTGTTCCTGGAGCTGATCCTCCCCAGGTGCAGGACTTTGCACTTCCCCTTGTTGAACTTCAGGAGGTTCCGGTCAGCCCATTTCTCCAGCCTGTCAAGGTCCCTCTGGATGGCAACACAACCCTCTTGTGTACCAGCCACTCCTCCCCGTTTTGTACCATCAGCAAACTTGCTGAGGGTATACTCTACCCCATCATCCAGATCATATTGAACAGGATTGAACACAGTATTAACCCCTGGGGTACTGGCCTCCAATAAGACTTCGTAGCACAAATCTCCCACCCTCTGGACCTAGCTGTACATCTGACTGTCTGCTCATCCAGCCCATCAGCTTCTCTGTGAAGATATTATGGGAGAGAGCGTTACTGAAGTCCAAGTAGATAATAGTGACTGTTCTCCCCTCATCTACCAAGGCAGTCATTTCATCATAGAAGGATATCATGTTGGTCAAGCATGACCTCCCCTTTGTGAATCCATGCTTGGTTTTGCCTATGCGCTCTTCCTTTGGTCCCACCACTCTTGAAGTCCTTCCTGCACTGTTATGACAGGGAATTTTAATAATTCTTTTATTCTAAAAATACTTATGGCCAGTAGCTCAGGCATTTTCCTAAGAAGAGACATGTTGTAGCCTGAAGAGATCCAAAGAATTAGTAAACAAGTTTGATAATTACTATTAGCATAGCTGTAATTAGACAGATTTTAAGATATTAATAAACAATTAGAAAGGCATTATACTTCCATCCATTTGATTCAATATGCTCTTTTTACATATAATTTTTTGCTAATGCTATGTAAGTTGAATTTCCATGAACCCTGAGAAGCCTGGGAACCCTGAAGGAAAAATACGTACAAAACTATCTTGAACCACATTGGAAAACTATGCTGGTCATTTAAAGTAATCTTTCAACTTTTCATTTAATAGTGTGCATTGGGCATCAGCTGAAACCCACTATTTCGAAATGAAAGTGAACGTTCTGGTAAAAATGATGACTTTCGAACTGATGTTTGAAGTACTTGCAGTGAATTTGCATGTTCAATCTATTCCATCTACAAGCTAAACCCTCCATTAGAATATTCAGAGTGAGTTAATGTGATGGTTTATATTACTTTCAGAAAGGACAGCATGATATTTTTAGGACGGTGAATTGAGATTATGGGATGCCAGTCTTTCAGATTTCATTTAGACAGACTGTGCTATCTTCCATATAATCATTGTTTTAGAACCTAACATTCTTTTGTCATAGGATCTGCTGTCATTTCCCCAGCAACAAGATTTCAGTATGAATGACTATATGATATGCAGTATAATATATTATTAGAATTAACATATTATTAGTGTTGGGTACTGTGAGGTATAATGAATGTGTGCAAATTTGTTCAGGTCAGTGTCAGACCACATGCACAGGATACTCGTGATTCCTGCTTCAGGTAACTCTCACCTATAAACTCTGCTAGGTTGGCTCCAGGGTTTACAGTTGTTTTGCATAAAACAATGATAACTTGAGGGCAGGTACAAAACAAAAAGAAGATATTGTGTTATTTATCAGCAACAGTGACAAAGTCTATATGCTTCTTGATGAATGAACCAAGAATCTGTAACATTTTGCTGGAGAAAAATGTGAACTCTATGTAGGC